CCTGAGATGGAAGAATATTAAACAGAATTATTTGCCAAGCCCAGAGACAAATTTCGGATTATATTATACCGTATTTTATTTACACACTACTATCAATTGTCTGTTGTACACAGTAGCTCCGAAAACGACGAGCAAATTTTCAAGCAAAAATAAAGAAAGAAAAAAGGTTCATTCATACTCGACTGAAATTTAGCGAAAATTCATTTTCGCTTCTCGAAAATCTACAATATAATGGTCGCTACGATAAATAGGATACCTCAGAAGAAAAGGACAGAAGTGGTTTAAAAAATTGCATCTAGACGGAAAATCTCAATTATCTAACTAGTAACCGAATTTCGAAATAGTCAATTCAAGAAAGGGTGCTTTATTTTAGGAATCTTAAATTTAAAATTATGAAAATCATGGCAGGTCAAAGCCTTTCAAATACACGCAAGAATATTTTTTTATTGGGAGATGGTAATTTTCGTTGGATTTTTTAAACCAAAAATTGCATAAGGAATGAAGAAAATAACTTTCCTGGATGAGATTGGAGCTAATCAGTCAGTTTTTGATGGGATTCCAACGTGGCAACTTTCACTGCAGTGGACGAAGTCCTATAGTCTAGTGGGTAAAGATTTTGGCAACGTTGAAAATTTCATCAAACTCAAGTGATTAGCACGAATCTGATCCAGGAAACCTGAGTTAATTTTCTTAGACTCGATTGCAGAAAATGAGGGAAGACAAACATTGATATCAGAATCACCTGTACTGTAACGGAGCATACTGTAATTCAAGTACCACACGCAACTTTTTCTTCAGAAAATCAGCTCAAGAATTGCAGCGCACGTCATATTCCTGTAAGCATTACACCAGAGAAGTTTCGCGACACATTTTTTGTAGACTGGAATGCAAAGATGATTCAGACTCAAATCGAACTGTTCGATGGCACTTGGAACAAAAACACGCGCAGCACAACTCGATTCAAATTGTAAAAATGAATTTCAATTTGTTTTGCGTTTTTTCCTAAAAAAAATAAATCGATCATTGTTCTGAGGAAAACTTCGTCGTGAATCTTTTACAGGGATTGCTTTCAAAAAGATTAAGGCATTCGTGTTACATGAGGGGCATGGTACCGAGTAAATACATTACGGTACACGAAGTTGAAAATTTTCCTGAAGGGGAATTCAATTCGGGACATGTTTAGTTTTCGAGACATGGCATTGTATTTCGACTTCCAGTTCAATTACTTCCGCCACTTCCTAACACTGGGACACGTTTTTATAGCAAAAATGAAAAATAGTCATTCACGTTCGAGCCGAAATTCACCAGCTCGACTTAATCCTCCATATGTTTCGAGTTTCTATGAGTTAATCATCAGTAATACTGCTATCAGTGAGACTCAGTAACTCGTACTGTCCTGGGATTTTCTGATTTGTCTCGTGTTTGGTCGGGTGAGTTTACTTCAGTAAGTCGGGTGCCTCATTACATTCCATTTTAGTGAATGCGTAATTACGGCAGCTCGAACAAATGCCTCGGAAACAGGTTTTTTTCCAGGATCTACCGGCCACTTTTTCCTGAGGGCGGTGCGATGAAAGCGTTATTTTTCTTCAAAATACAGTAATCGAAGTGGCTGTGGGAAATTTAGCAGCCGGCGTCACTTCCCGCGTGGGTGAAAGCTTTTTTTAATATTCTTCACGGCGTTTGCCATTTTTTCTTCCTACTTCAAAAACATTCGAGTTATTTCAAGGTATTCCATGCAAAAAAAAGTGTGATTTCATCAGTGAAGTAGAATACTGTAAGTGATTCAAGAATACATGAAGGGATCTTCCAAGTGATTAGGGAAGTATTAGTTTTTCCACATAACTTCACAACACTGCGTCAAGACCTTTTGGATGCCTGGGACGACGTAAACTTCGACATTTTCAGTATAGCTCTACTTCAGTAGTTTTTATTCTAAAAATACGTTTTTTAAACAAGATTTGTATACAGGTAGACTCCCTCTCTCTGTGCAGCGAAATTCTCTCTGCAAAGATTTTTTTGGTCCCCCAAATTTTGTTGTACAGAATTCTTATATGAGGAGAAACCTCAGGGACAAAAAAAAATATTCTCTCCAACGATTTTTTTTCTTCTGGTCCCCTGATTTTCATCGTGGAGAAACATTATAATATGAAGAGAGACCCCCCTATAGGAAAAAAAAAAATTTCGACAACGAATAGTTTTCTCCCCGTCCCTGAATTTAATTCTAGAGAAAATTTGTATTATGGGTTCCATCCCTATCGGACAAACAATACTCTCTACAACGAACTACAACGCTGAATATCGTTGTAGTGAGAGTCCACCTGTAACATAGTTCCTACAGAGGAACCGTCGGGACAGTTCAAAAATTTCGCTGCGAAGAAAAAATTGCTACAACGAAATTTTACCGTATATTTTTGGAACTGTTTTTGGCTTTCCTTGTAATTTGCCAATAACTTAAAACCAAAACTCACCTTTTGAAGAGTCAATCCAGTTCCGGGCACCGCGGGAACCGGAGCCAGCCTTTTGGAAGAATAGTCCGCTCCCATCAGGGGTTGCTCGTAAGCGCCTGCTTTTCTCTTGGTTCCCCTCGAGCTGGCGTCGAATAAACCGCTCGACATCTGGGGTGTGGAGGGACGAGACGTTCGACTCGGAACTTCGTCATAAATTAAAGAGCCGTCTTTGCGTTTCTCGGGCTTGGGAAACGCGACGAAACCCGTCCCTTGGCTGCTTTTGTCAATGGGTGCCAAGATGGCAGGAATCTGTTGAAGATTCAAGAAAAAAAAA